ATGAGACACTGACTGTCAAAGCCAGTGCTGGCTTACGAACAGGTGGCAGTTCGCCGGCATTGGTTTCAAGCGAGCCTGACTGCTGATGAGGCCCTGAAAATCAAAACCAGTGCTGGCTTATAAACGCGTGGTATTTCGCCACCATTGGTTTCAAGCGAGCCTGACTCTGCTGATGAGACACGTGATATGGGATCTGGACCAGAGTTTTTGCTTGCATTGAACCAATGATGCTGACAGGAAGTCCCTCCCCCCCCCCCCCCCCGTGGCTGACGGGATGTGTAAAAAAATACCCGTGCTTAAATATGTTACGTCAAGGGACGCGTGCGTATGAAGGAGGGGAGCGGTCGTGTAGCGGTCAGCGCGCTGCGCTACGAACCCGGCAACCCGGGTTCGATTCCCGCTCAGTGCCAACACCCAGTGTCGGTCATCTGAACCGGACGTCTGGCCAGGCATGGAATGCCCCCTATCCAGAGGGCACCGTGTAGGGATCCCCTCGAGAGGAGGACCCTCCCACCGGCAGTGGCGCGAGCGAGCTGATTGCGGGGCTGCGCCTTTGGCTTCACCATCAAGTTACTCATTTTTTGAGCTGCCGTTTTGTATTCACCATCAAGCCCTCGACGTAGCACCGCGTGAAAGGCAGGCAATGTGCACGATCACGCGCGTTTACATAACACGTGGCTCGGCCACAACGCTCACCACCGCCTTGTTCACTGACTCGGTCCCTATTCCAACAACGCTCACCACCGCCTTGTTCACTGACTCGGCCCCTATTCCAACAACGCTCCCCACTGCCTTGTCCCTTTTGCATTGAGGCAGTGGGTGGGTGGGTGATTGATGCAGTTGGCCAGGCTGCGGCACAGTTACCGTGCAGGAAGAAAAACAAAGTTCAAGTCGAAAGTGCTCGGGGAAAGTCGGCCCCACGTTGCAGCGACAAAACACGCGAATGCACAGGGTGACACACGGTGACACACGTGCCTGAGTGAGACACACAAAGACAAAGATCCCCCGTATAGCCTTTAAAAAGACTGTTGGGGCAAGTGCTGTTAGCACGTATGAAGGCCGGATACGCAACACTTGGGTGTGCGTAGCCAGTACCACGTCCGGCCGCCTTTGTCTCCCCAGTAGCGGTGTTTACATATCGCACTAAGTGCTCATTTGAGGCTGAGTCGACCTAGGGGAGGCCCGGGACCGGTTCAAATAATCCTCACCGGCGTTGGTGGCCGTGAGCGTGAATAGAATCCGGGTCGTCGGGTTCGTAGCGCAGCGCCCTAACCACTACACCACCGCTCCCCACAACAACAACAATAAGACACACATACGCGCACAGACACCGCACTTAACACAAAGTCACATGCACACACAACACACAATGATCTCACCACGCACGCACAGGGAGAACGCTGTTTGTTAGCCAGTGCTGTACTTCACGGCCTGCACGAGTAGGGGGGGGGGTAAAAACAATACCACGCCCGGCAGCCTTTGTCTCTCCCTAGTGCTGATCTGTGTACGCTCCGCGAACAAGGTACTCATTTGAGGCTGGGTCTACAGGCTGAGGTGTTCGCCACTGATGCCGGCCTTGGCCGAGAAACGGAACTTTGGGTCGTCGAGTTTGGATTACAGCTCACTAACCACTCTGCCACCGCTCCCCACTAGATATAGACACAAACAAAGATCCCCCGTGTAGCCTGTAACAGACTGTTGGGGCAAGTGCTGTTAGCGAGCAGTACCCTATGCAGACCGGCAACTGCACACGAGGGGGTGGGTGGCCAAAACCACGCCCGGCCGCCTTTGTCTCCCTTAGTAAGGACGTTTAAACATAGCACCGGGTAGCCATTTGAGGCTGAGTCGACCTAGGGGAGGCCCAGGATGGGTTCTGATCATCGTCACCGGTGTGGGCCGTGAACGGGAATCGAACTCGGATTGCCCGGTTCGTAGCGCAGCGCGCTAACCGCTGCACCACCGCTCCCCACAGTATACACACACACATACAAAGGCAAAGATTTCCCGTCTAGCCATAACAGACTGTGGGGGCAAGTGCTGTCAGCGAGTAGCACCCTATGAATACCAGCACGGCACACGAGGATGTGGTGTGGCCAATGCCACGCCCGGCCGCCTTTGTCTCTCCCCAGTGCTGATCTGTGCACATGCCGCAAGCAAGTACTCATTTAAGGCTGGGTCGACCTAGGGGAGGTCCCGGACCGACACGCGCGTAAACCACATATACAAAGACAAAGGTCCCACCGTGTAGCCTTCACAGGCTGTTGGGGCCAAGTGCTGTTAGCGAGCAGCACCTATGAAGGCCGGCACTGATGTCAGCCCTGAGTTAGGGCACCACGGTGGGTAGGAGATGTTAACTACCTCGCCTGGTATACAGGAGATCGTGGGTTCAATCACGATCCTAACGCCTGCTGTATATGTTGAGTTTGCGTGTCTCTCATGATCATCACGGTGGCTAGGAGATGTTAACTACCTCGCCTGGTATACAGGAGGTCGTGGGTTCAATCACGATCCTAACGCCTGTTGTATAAGTGGAGTTTGCGTGTCTCTCATGATCATCACGGTGGCTAGGAGATGTTAACTACCTCGCCTGGTATACAGGAGGTCGTGGGTTCGATCCCGAATATGACGCCTGTTGCTGTATATGTTGAGTTTGCGTGTCTCTCATGATCATCACGGTGGCTAGGAGATGTTAACTACCTCGCCTGGTATACAGGAGGTCGTGGGTTCAATCACGATCCTAACGCCTGCTGCTGTATATTTGGAGTTTGCGTGTCTCTCTCATCATCATCATCACGGTGGCTAGGAGACGTTAACTACCTCGCCTGATCTACATGAGATCGTGGGTTTAATCACGATCCTGACGCCTGCTGCTGCTGCTGTATATTTCGAGTTTGCGTGTCTCTCTCATCATCATCACGGTGGCTAGGAGATGTTAACTACCTCGCCTGGTCTACAGGAGATTGTGGGTTCAATCACGATCCTAACGCCTGCTGCTGTATATTTGGAGTTTGCGTGTCTCTTTCATCATCATCATCACGGTGGCTAGGAGATGTTAACTACCTCGCCTGGTCTACAGGAGATCGTGGGTTCAATCACGATCCTAACGCCTGCTGCTGCTGTATGTTTGCAGTTTGCGTGTCTCTCTCATCATCATCATCATCACGGTGGCTAGTAGATGTTAACTACCTCGCCTGTTATACAGGAGATCGTGGGTTCAATCACGATCCTGACGCCTGCTGCTGCTGTATATTTGGAGTTTGCGTGTCTCTCTCATCATCACGGTGGCTAGGAGATGTTAACTACCTCGCCTGTTATACAGGAGATCGTGGGTTCAATCACGATCCTGACGCCTGCTGCTGCTGTATATTTGGAGTTTGCGTGTCTCTCTCACCATCATCATCACGGTGGCTAGGAGATGTTAACTACCTCGCCTGGTCTACAGGAGGTCGTGGGTTTAATCACGATTCTGACGCCTGCTGCTGTATATTTGGAGTTTGCGTGTCTTTCTCATCATCATCATCATCATCACGGTGGCTAGGAGATGTTAACTACCTCGCCTGGTCTACAGGAGATCGTGGGTTCAATCACGATCCTAATGCCTGCTGCTGCTGTATGTTTGCAGTTTGCGTGTCTCTCTTATCATCATCATCATCACGGTGGCTAGTAGATGTTAACTACCTCGCCTGTTATACAGGAGATCGTGGGTTCAATCACGATCCTGACGCCCTGCTGCTGTATATTTGGAGTTTGCGTGTCTCTCTCATCATCACGGTGGCTAGGAGATGTTAACTACCTCGCCTGTTATACAGGAGATCGTGGGTTCAATCACGATCCTGACGCCTGCTGCTGCTGTATATTTGGAGTTTGCGTGTCTCTCTCACCATCATCATCACGGTGGCTAGGAGATGTTAACTACCTCGCCTGGTCTACAGGAGGTCGTGGGTTTAATCACGATTCTGACGCCTGCTGCTGTATATTTGGAGTTTGCGTGTCTTTCTCATCATCATCATCATCACGGTGGCTAGGAGATGTTAACTACCTCGCCTGGTATACAGGAGATCGTGGGTTCAATCACGATCCTAATGCCTGCTGCTGCTGTATGTTTGCAGTTTGCGTGTCTCTCTCATCATCATCATCATCATCACGGTGGCTAGTAGATGTTAACTACCTCGCCTGTTATACAGGAGATCGTGGGTTCAATCACGATCCTGACGCCTGCTGCTGCTGTATATTTGGAGTTTGCGTGTCTCTCTCATCATCACGGTGGCTAGGAGATGTTAACTACCTCGCCTGTTATACAGGAGATCGTGGGTTCAATCACGATCCTGACGCCTGCTGCTGCTGTATATTTGGAGTTTGCGTGTCTCTCTCACCATCATCATCACGGTGGCTAGGAGATGTTAACTACCTCGCCTGGTATACAGAAGATCGTGGGTTTAATCACGATTCTGACGCCTGCTGCTGTATATTTGGAGTTTGCGTGTCTTTCTCATCATCATCATCACGATGGCTAGGAGATGTTAACTACCTCGCTTGGTATACAGGATATCGTGGGTTCAATCACGATCCTAACGCCTGCTGCTGTATATGTGCAGTTTGCGTGTCTCTCTCATCATCATCATCACGGTGGCTAGGAGATGTTAACTACCTCGCCTGGTCTATAGGAGATCGTGGGTTCAATCACGATCCTAACGCCTGCTGCTGCTGTATATTTGGAGTTTGCGTGTCTCCCTCTCTTCTCCGTTGTCGCGTGGATTTTTCTCCGGGTCCTCCGTGTTTCCCCCCCCCTCCCACACCCCTCCACATTTTTAATCAACATCACCCACTCGTCTCCACATTTCCACGCGATGGTCATGCTATCGCTTGTGATGGCCGTATCGCTTCTGAGCTACATAGCTCAGTGGGGCCTTACCTGCTATTACATTTCTTTATTTAAAATATAGTTTTATAAAGATTGTATAATTACACGAACTCTCCCTCTCTCTCTTTCTCAAACTCACCTGTTCTGAAGAGCGGGGATCCAAGTGACCGTGCAGCTGCTTGCTGGGCACCTCAAACTGAAGCTTCTTCTTGGGGCTCTTACGCTGATCCATGTTGATTGTCCACGCAGCCCAGAGTCCAGGGCCGAGGTCACAAGGTCACGGCCGGAGGCGTCAGCCGAGGTCGACGAGGGATTGGTCAGCCTCGGAGCGATTTGGTCTCGCGCTGAGCTGGGCTGCTTCGCACGTGTGTTTGATGTTTGTGTCCCTCTCTCGCTTTGTCTCTCTCGCTCGACCTTAAAGTCTCTCTCTGACTCAACGTATCTCCCTCCCTCCCTCTCTCTCTCTCTGACTCAAACTTAGCTCGGCTCACTCTCGGCTCAGTCTCCCTGGCTCTCTCCCTCTCTCTCTTCACCTTCGCGAGGCGAGAGCGCAACGAGTGACAAGGCGGGACGCTCAAAGTGAAATGCTTCACATTTGGCATCGGTGGGGGGGGGAGCGAGGCGTTAGGGGGCGGAGCGCTTCAGGATTCCATGGCCAATCTTCAAACGAGCCCAGCCGCTGCCAACTCTATAGCTAGCCAATCAGATGCGAGCCCTGAAGCTAGCCCTAACCTCTAAACCCTAACGCTATCAATATGCCATACAAACTAGCCAACGAGATGCGAGCCCTGAAGCTAGCCCTAACCTCTAAACCCTAACGCTATCAATATGCCATACAAACTAGCCAACCAGATGCGAGCCCTGAAGCTAGCCCTAACCTCTAAACCCTAACCCCATCCATAGCTATCGCTAGCTAGCCCTATCACTAGCTAGCTCTACCACTAGCTAGCCCTATCACTAGCTAGCTCGATCACTAGCTAGCCCTATCGCTAGCTAGCGCTATCACTAGCTAGAACTATCACTACCAAGCCCTATCACTAGCTAGCCCTATAACTAGCTATCCCTGTCACTAGCCAGCTCTATCACTAGCTAGCTCTATCACTAGCTAGCTCTATCACTAGCTAGCCCTCACTAGCTAGTTCTATCACTAGCTAAGCCCTATCACTAGCTAGCCCTATCACTAGCTAGCCCTATCGCTAGCTAGCTCTATAACGAGCTAGCTCTATCACTAGCTAGCTATATCACTAGCTAGCCCTATCACTAGCTAGCTCTATCACTAGCTAGCCCTATTACTAGCTAGCTCTACCACTAGCTAGTCATATCACTAGCTAGCCCTATCACTAGCTAGCCCTATCACTAGCTAGCTCTATCACTAGCTAGCCCTATCACTAGCTAGCTCTATCACAAGCTAGCTCCATCACTAGCTAGCCCTATCACTAGCTAGCTCTATCATAAGCTAGCTCCATCACTAGCTAGCCCTATCACTAGCTAGCTCCATCACTAGCTAGCTCTATCACTAGCTAGCTCCATCACTAGCTAGCCCTATCACTAGCTAGCTCCATCACTAGCTAGCTCCATCACTAGCTAGCCCTATCACTAGCTAGCCCTATCACTAGCTAGCCATATCACTAGCTAGCACTATCACTAGCTAGCCCTATCACTAGCTAGCCCTATCACTAGCTAGCTCTATCACTAGCTAGCCCTATCACTAGCTAGCTCTATCACTAGCTAACCTTATCACTAGCTAGCTCTATCAATAGCTAGCACTATCACTAGCTAGCCCTTTCACTAGCTAGCTCTATCACTAGCTAGATCTATCACTAGCCTGCTCTATTACTAGCTAGCCCTATCACTAGTTAGCTAGCCCTATCACTAGCTAGCCCTATCACTAGCTATCCCTATCACTAGCTAGCTAGCTAGCTCTATCAGTAGCTAGCTCTATCACTACCCCCTAGACTAAACTTTAACCCATCCCCTTAGCCTTAACAAACCAGCCAACCAGACACGTAACCCGTTCGCTAGCCCGACCCACTAAGCTTAACCGTACTAGATAACCACACACTAAGCTCTAAGCCGAACTCCTAGCCTTCAAAATCAAACCCGGTCGATTAAACACGAACTATCCCTTTCCCCGCCACTCTGACCCTATACACCTAACCCTGACCCTATACACCTAACCCTGACCCTATACACCTAACCCTGACCCTATACACCTAACCCTGACCAACCAGCCCACCATGCACTAAGCTATTGCAAACCTGCTACAGCAGGGGATCGGAAACCAAAATAACAAGAAGTGCCGTCGTTCTGTGTTTTTCGAATTCTGTAACACGCACGCACGCACGCACAGAAAACAACTCAATATTTCAAGGGCCGCAATTGCCACGTGGTGAATAACGCGGTGAATAACGCGGTGAATAACGCGGTGAATAACGCGGTGAATAACGTGGTGAATAACGTGGTGAATAACGCGGTGAATAACGTGGTGAATAACGTGATGAATAACGCGGTGAATAACGCGGTGAATAACGTGGTGAATAACGTGGTGAATAACGTGGTAAATAACGTGGTGAATAACGTGGTGAATAACGCGGTGGATAACGTGGTGAATAACGTGGTGAATAACGTGGTGAATAACATGGTGAATAACGTGGTGAATAACGTGGTGAATAACGTGATGAATAACGCGGTGAATAACGTGGTGAATAACGTGGTGAATAACGTGGTGAATAACGCGGTGAATAACGCGGCGAATAACGGGCACAAAGGAGTTCCTTAAAGAGCCACCCCGTGCGGGCTTCCTGAGCCGACCCCCACGAGCTCCCACCAAGCCTCGCTACTCCACAGCCTGAGCCCCAACGTAGACACTCATCTCCGTGTAGTCTACCCACAGCCATCACGCTGACACCCCCCTCCATCACCACCCGATGCCCACCACCACCACCACCACAATCACCACCAATGACCCCCTCCCGACCACCCCCCTACCTCCCCACCCACACCTCTCTCTCTACAGCTGTTGTGATTCCGCGCGACAGCTTCAACTCGTGGCGAGACTCACAGCCGCTCACGAGGTCGCCGTAGACTCTGGCGGACGCGGTCCATCGCTGGCTGCAGTCACACCGTGGCGCGCCAATTAATCCTCCTAAGGCCGTGATTATAATATATTGGGGGGGGGGGGTGACGGGACACATCCCCCACAAATATTCAAATACACTCAAAATGTCTCCCCCCCCCCCCCCATATATTGATGCAAAAAATAAAAATTGCGATGCTATGTAAATAAAAACAACAATTCGCTAAACCTCGGCCACAATATCTAGACTTGTGTTCATATAAATCAATGCATAGATTTCTGTTTATATGATTGTGGTTATGGTTGTACTTTATTAATCCCTAATCTCTGCCATTACATACAACGAGACAAGAAATATATTCTTGGTTCTTTCGGTAAAGTCACACGTAGAAGGGAAACAATGAAATAATAAAAATATAAAAACAATAAAATTTTCACGACGTTTCGACTGCAACACGAGCAACCATCATCAGGTGTGAACTCGCGAAATTAAAATAGAGACATGATATAGTCATCCTCTCAGCCGACAAGGGCAATGCCACTGTAATTATGGATAAAAACTCATACAACAATAAAATTCAGGACCTACTCAATGATGGTAGTTACTCAAAAATAAAAAATGACCCTACTAAAAGCCTAACTATAAAAACCAACAAGATCATCACAAGTTCGACCTCCCTAATCGAACCAACTAAACGTCCCTCCCTAAAACCTTCTGCTGCAAGACCACCTAGACTCTATGGTCTTCCAAAGATTCATAAGGAAGGCACTCCACTACGACCCATCGTATCCACGATCAACTCCCCTACTTATAAGCTGGCACGTTTTCTGTCGGATACCTTGCTACCTTTCACTGGCAAGACCTCCTCAGCAGTACTTAACTCGGCCCAATTGGTTTCTATGGTCAAGGACGTTGTACTGTCCCCTGACGATATCCTTGTCAGCTTCGATGTGGTCTCCTTGTTCACCAAGGTTCCGGTACCTGATACCATTGATATAATTGAAAATTTGGGACAACATGGACTAAACCCCGAGGTACCTACTCTGGTCAGGCACTGCCTCACCAACACCTACTTTACTTGGAATGGTACCTTCTACAAGCAAAATGAGGGTACTCCCATGGGTTCCCCCTTGTCACCAGTGATAGACAATGTTTTCATGGAGAAATTTGAATCGGACGCCATCCAGACTTCCACCCTCAGACCTTCCCTGTGGAAGAGATATGTAGATGACACTTTCGTAATTTGGCCACATGGCCTCCCAGCTCTGAACCTTTTCCTACACCACATCAATTCCAGACATCCCGCCATCAAATTCACCATGGAAGTGGAGAAGGATGGCAGGCTACCATTCTTGGATGTTCTGATTGAGAGGAGACCTGATGGCTCGTTGGGGCATGCTGTCTACAGGAAACCCACCCACACGGATTCCTACTTGAAGCCTGATTCCCACCACCACCCAGCTCAGAAGAATTCTCTCATCAAAACTTTATACCATAGGGCTCATTACATTTCGGACCAACACCACCTGACCAGTGAATTAAAACATGTACACCTGGCCCTCAAAAGGAATGGATACTCTGACCGTACCATCCGCCAAGCTGTTTCTCCCCCCATACAGAAACAACCACTTGATACTCCGGTCAAAACCATCACACTACCATATATAGCAGGCGTTACTAAAAAGATTTCCAAAATTCTAAACAAACACAAGATCCAGGTCCGGTTCAATACAGTACACAAAATTCGTGATCTGATCCCATCCGTGAAGGATGTCATTCCTGACTTACAGTACCCCGGGGTTTACAAATTGAGTTATACCTGCAGTGATTGCTATATCGGGGAGATGAAACGACATGTCTCTGACCGAATTCGCGAGCACAAATCAGATTTGAAACACGGCAGAACGAATTCTTCTGCCGTAGATGATCACTGTTACAACGCTGTGGGTGATTACGATATAATTTTCTCCGATACCAAGGTTCTTTTCAAACCCACGGGTTTTTATCAGAGATTTGTTCACGAGGCAATTCAGATCTACAAACACAGACACAATGTCAACCGAGGAGATGGTTTCAAATTATGCAACCATTGGAAAGATGTTCTAAATCGAACCAAACATTAAACAAATGTTTTCAATGGTACAGTATATTTTTCAAGTAGTGGTATCCCAAACTTCTTAAAATCCCCTTTTCACACCACCAGCATGTGGACGCTGCCGTGCCCCCTCGCCAGCCTGCAAAGGTCGACCCCCTCCCTACCTCTCATCATGCTAAGTCCGCCTATTAAAAGGCAAATTTACATGCTAATTCCTTTGTCAAGGCACCTTAATTCCTCTCACACAGCTTAAAGGTCGCGGTCTGAGCTTGGCTGTGTTTCACTCCAGCGCTGTCCTCGAGACAGTCTGGTCCCTTCACCTGATGAAGGCCGCTTGTGTTGTGGCCGAAACGTCGTGATTTTTGTTTTTTATTTTTTACCTACGTGACTTTACCCAATAGAACCAAAGAGTATGGATCCTTGCAGTCACGAAAGCTTCAAATCTAGAAAAGAATAGTGCAGGGTGTTACATATTGCAGGGTGTCAAGTTACATAGTGCAGGGTGTTACAGAGTGCAGGGTGCTCAGTGTCAATTGCAGGATTACCGAGACCCCCACCCCTCTCCCTCCCTACTCCTTCCCCCCGTAACCCCGCCTCCCCCCAGGCCCACTCACCCCGCCCCTCAGTGAGCCCCCCCCCCCCCCCCCCCCATGAATAATGAAGCGGAGCTCCCGGGCCGCGCTGGTAACGACGCCTGAGCAGGAGCGGCGTGCCACGATGGGGTGGAGGGGGCCTCCTCGGGAGAGTTCCTCGGGGAAAAGGGCGTC